GCCGCCTGTGAAGACGGGTGCGGGGGACAGCGCGGTGGGCCCACACGGCCGTGGGACGGGAGGGAGGGGCAGGAGGCTGAGTCCAGGATGAGTCATTTCTGGAACAAGTGGAAAGTTCAAGAAAATAATGGAAAGATATAGGCATCGATTAAGTGCATTTAGCTTTATGGGACACTCACTTCGTTTCCTCACATTTCTCATCGTGTGCCATGGAGCAAAGACTTGGTTTTAGTGCGGGAACTCAAAACCGCTGATCTGGATTAAGGCTCCTACCAGCCTGCTGTAGTTGGGGTGTCAGTCCCCTCCAAATCTCATGCTGAACTTTGACCCCCCAGTGTTAGAGGCCAGGCCTGGTGGGGGTGCTTGGGCCGTGGGGAGATCCTTCCTGCGGGGTGCGGTGCCTTCTGGAGATAAGCGCTGGCTCTCACTTCATCCGGGCGAGAGCTGGTTGTTAAAGGAGCCTGGCCTCGCCCCCTCCCTGCCCGCTCTAAAGGAGCCTGGCCTCGCCCCCTCCCTGCCCGCTCTAAAGGAGCCTGGCCTCGCCCCCTCCCTGCCCGCTCCGTCGCCCACCAGGTGACACGCCCGCTCCCCTCCCGGCGGCCTCCACTGGCGCTCCCAAGGCCCTCTCCAGAAGCAGGTGTCAGCGCCACCTTCTCGCAGAGTGGGCCACAGGCACCCTTCTCTCTGCAGACGCCCAGACTCGGCCACCCTTAGCCTCGGCACAGAACGGGCTGAGACAGGCCGTGCCAGTTCCCCAGCACGGAGACTGCAATTCTGGGCGAGCGCTGTCTCATGTGCCCTGAAGAGAAACCCAGACAACTAAGAGGGAAAAGAAGGAAAGAAGGAAGAAATACAGGAAGGAAGGGGAAGGAGTCTGAGGGAGCCAGAATATGTCATGCAAGGCAATCTGCAGTGAGAACTGTCATTAACAGCAGAAGAGCAAAGATGAAGGCGTTTGATGGCACCTAGTTTCCCTATGGTAGAAGCCCAGTCGATAGCAGACAACCCTTGAAGACCCTGAAGCTTCCTGCTGGACTCCTTCAACCAAAGTGGATTATTCGTCAATGTGGGTAAGTCCCTTCTGATGACCTGCCGTAAGGTGGCCGGTGACCTTGCTGGGAGGCAGAGGCTGCTCATCATGTCAGAGGGAAGAGGAAATAAGAAAGCAAATATATTTTCAAACAGCTGCAGCTATTCATGCACTCTTCCTGCTATTCCCAACTCCTTGCTGTGGCTTTCTTCAGCCTACCCTGTACCTGCAGTGACACGGGCCCCTAAAATGTGGCTTCCGTGAGGACAGAGATTTTTGTCTGTTCTGTGGACTGCTGTTAGTCTTCAGTGCCTACAACAGTGCCTCAGTGTCGTAAGCGCTCGATATGCATTTGTTGAGTGCATAGTATGAACAATATGTGTCCTAAAGGGGACATGCCAAAACACTGAGCTGTTTTCAAAGGCCACTTTTCCCCTCAATGACTCTCTTCTGCACCCCCACCTCCAAATCTGTGACCATAATCCCTGTTGGTTTTGAGTAGACTGTCCCACATGCCTAAATTAGTTAACCTCCTTCTCAGATACCTCTTTGGGAATATTTTCCTCATTAGCAGTGTCTGATTTCAATGCAGGGCTCCCTTGCAAAACCTTCTGCACACTCTGATCTCGCGTCTTGGCATCACTCCTGCAAATCCACCACGCAGGCCCTGTGCACCCAGCGGCAGGGCCTGCGGCCTGGACCGGAAGGGAATCGGTGGTGAGCCTGAAGGCAGGATTAGTTTTCAGCCAGACTCTCCTTACATTTTCTGATGATGGCCAAGTGGGCAAATTTCAGTCCCTTCTGCCCAGAAACCCAATACAGCTTTTCTATACCAACAAGTATTCATTCAAATCCCCAGTGGGCAGGCCAGGATATGAAAATCACAGCAATCTAATCTTGCAGAGGAAGAAGCGTGAATCATCATTACATGGTCTGACAAAGAGCAAAGTGATTAATGCCAGGCTGCACAGAGGTTAGAGGCCACGGCGACAGCTCCCTGCGGGCTACAAACCTGACAGAGGGACCCCACAGGCAAACGTCAGAGAAGCAACATCCTGGTCTCCGTGCCAGGGGAGGAGACTCAGGGAACAACAGTGCCATGTGCTCAGGACCACGTTTAGAGCATTTTTATACTGAGGAAAATTCAGGGACTGCGAACAAAGGAGTGGAAATTTGAGTCTCAAAATCACAGCGGGTCTATCTTCTGATGCCACTATGAACTGCTTAAGCTCTGAAGCTTACTTATAAGTAGGAACTGCAAGGTTTGTAGAATCACAGTGTCTGAGAAAATGGCCTAGAAACCCCAATTCTCTGTCTGGGAAAACAATAGAACATACGTAGGACAAGCCAGATGATAAATAACTGTGCCAACAAGAATGCTCTCTAACCACATCCCAGAGACACGCAGTTCTGAAGGAAGTCCTGCCACCCACCACCCACCCCCGAGACCTTCAGAAAGAGCACCAAGCTCCCACCGCCCGTCCCCATGAAACCACGGCTCCAGTGCGCTGGGAAACTTGGTCAGGACGCCTGCAGCCCTGAACCGTCACTTGACTTTTTTTTTCTTCTTTCTTTCTTTTTTTGCACAGCTGTATTCAATTTTCTGTCCTTGGGGTTTTAAAAGGAACATTTATTCTAGGGCCAGGATTCTCAAGTTTTATGGTTATACAACTCCCTCCCAGGGCCAAAGAATGTTTGCAAAGTCATAGACCCAGCAAAGAGAATTAGTAAAAGTATCCAAATGAAAGTGAAATAAAAAAATTAACACTTGTTCCGGTATATATTCAGCCTCTTACTCGATTGTATTGTACCTTCTGTTTGCCCTTTAAGACTTCACTACCTATTTTTCGTGCAAATATAGGTAGGTAGGTAGGTTCTGTGTGTGGGGGGGGGAGAGAGAGAGAGAGAAAGAGAGAGAGAGAGCGAGCAGGTGAGGAACAGAGAAGTACAAAGGTGTAGAGTTTTCTACAGCATCTATTTCCTGCTACAGTAAATTTTATTTTAGGTAAGGCCTATAGTTTAAATTGAATCTAACAGAAGATCACAAAGAAAGAGATTCCTTTAGAATTTTTATATACTTATTTGTTTTTACAATTTAGAAAGCAGTACACCTCCGATTTTTTTGCTAGTAGAACAGCAATAAAAAAAAATTCTGTTTTTACTTTTAAAAGTCAAAATTGTGGCATTTTTAATTGAAATGCTCTAAGCTAATTTATCAACATCCAAAAATCATTTCCAGAAAGACAAACACTATAACCACAAAACTTACAAACATGAGGCTCCCACCAGCCCTAGAAGTACTAAGCAGTGTTCTAAATACAACCACCTGGAATTATTTTAGAAAATCCACAGGTCTCTTACCTGTCCCCTCTTGTTTTCTCTCTTCATGTCCCTACACTCACACATCTCAAAGGCATCTGCCCACAGGCTCTGTCCACACGCGTGCACAAACATCACTCTCATGTTTGCCTCCTCATCTCCCGAGGGCGTGCCGCCTGCCTGCCACGGTCATCTGATCCGACACGCAACGCCAAGCTTGGGCTTCGGGGCTGAGGTTTGTGACACAGCACACACTGCCACATCAGAGGCCTGGCTGCATCCCAGGGCAAAGGAGACGTTTTGGAGAAACACAAGCTATCTGCACAGTTCCACCCTAAGCAGAAAAAATGGCATCGGCGTTCCTCCATACAGTGACCTGAAATGTTGTCGGCAGCACCTGCTTCCTGTCGCCCGACCTCTGAACACAATGAGAAGGCAAAGCACACTGACCTGGCTCGGCCCTCGTCATGTTGGGCCCCCGGCGGCTTCTCTCAAGAGGCAGTTGGGCAGCTAGTCGCGAGAGCAGAGCAGAGCAAATGCCTTCTCTTGGCAGCCACCCTCTCTTGCTCTTTTAAAATCAAGACATCAAAAGTGCACTTTAGCACGACCCTGTGGCCAAGGAGGCCTTGTAGGCAAGATAACAGGGTGAAGTTCAGCTGATTCCTTCCCACTCTAATTCTCCCTTGATTGGAAGTTGCTAGAAGTTAGTGCAAGTCGTAAACCCAGGGCAGAGTACAGCTCAAGCAAATAGGATTCCAAAATCAGGGTTTCTTTCAACCTAGAAATTTCTCCATGGATGACAGTCTAACTTCTAATCAAGTAGGACATACTACTCATATCATTTTCTCAGGATAATAAATTTGAAAACCCTGTGGATCTGCACTCTAGAACAAATTAAGATGCTTTTTTCAGAATGTTTTAGTAAAAGTAATACTAAACAATTCCTTCCTCAAAACCCCCAATATAACCCTCCTGACAGGTACACTAAAATACAATCAAACAATTATAACCACATAATTTAAAAAAAATACAAGAAAACCCCTTACAAAGAGCCTTTAATCAAGGTTAAAGAAATAAGGACATTCTCCAATTTCATGACAAGGCAATCAGAAAACACCAGATTTTTAAAATATTATTTGGTGATAGACCATTTATATCCATATAAGAAAGGGAAACATTTTTAGCTAGGAACACTCCGATATAACTTTTCAAAACTGCCTTGCCAAAATATGCATGTGCATGTGCACACACACACAACATCTGGTAAAAGAAAAACAAACACTGCTTGGCCTCATCTGAAATAAGCAGTCTTTAGCCACGTGCTCAAAACACGACTGCTACGGTCTGAACGCATCCCCAGAGTCCATGTGTTGGGAACTTAATCCTCAGTGCAGCAGTGTTGGGAGGCTGGCCCCGGAGAGGTCATCAGGTCAGGGTGCTCTGTGCCCACAAATGGATTAATATCATCATTGCAGACGGGGGTCTGACCATGGAGCGGGTTTGCCGTGAGAGCGAGTTCAGACCCTCTAGCTGCTCTCTGTGTGACACCTTCCGTGTGGCATGACGCGGCACAAGGCCCTCACCAGATGCAATCTTGGACTTCCCAGCCTCTAGAACCGTGAGCCAAATAAACTTAATATTGTTTATAAGTTACCCAGCCTGTGGCATTCTGTTATGGCAGCACAAAATGGACTTAGACAATGATGTTTGCTAAAAACATTTCAAATGGGCTTTATGGCCTAAGTAATATTTTCTCAAGAGAAGGGAAAGATGGGGTTGTTACTTGAAGGAACATCTGGTATTGGAAATCAGATTATTGTTTTCATATAACCTAAATTATAGTAAAGAAGCATGGGGAAGAACAGTCTAATGCAGACGGTAAGCTCCATGGGCAGCGCACTTGTGAGGGTCCCGAAAAGCATTTGCACGGGCCTTGTGAGGGCGTCACCGCTTTTCCCGCCAGCTCACTCCAGGCGCCGGTACAACCTCAGGGGTCCAAACACCGGTTCCACTGCCACCCCACGACAGGCAACGCGTGGTGCGAGTGCACTCAGCACTCACTTCGCAAAGACCTCACTGCATCTGAGAGCGTGGAGTGGCTTTTGTTTTTCTTCTGATTTCAAACGGAGATATTTAAACAATTCCACCTAGACTTTGAAAAACACATTAGTAAACGCCTTCTTTCAATTATCTCCCAATCAAAATATCAAAACCAAAGCGAAGATTGCACTCCTCTCCCAGTCCAGCACTGCTCTCCCAGCCCACCCTGCTCACAGCGTGCAGCTCCCGAGATCATGGCTCGAACCCAGAAGGACTGCCTCCAAGGGAAGACACTACCTTCAAAGCCAGCCAGCCCTCTGTCAGGTGTCTCAGCAGAGCAGGGAAAGATCCTAAAGTAATTTTCACCAGAGTCTGGTTACAGCAAAACTTCTAGAAACAGTTGCCTAGCTCTTTCCACTTCAGCACTTCGCATTCTCTGTTCAATCCACTCTGATCTGGAGTCTCCACTCGGAACTACTCTTGGCAAGGTCACGGACAATGTCCGTCTCAGCAGTTCCCACAGAGGCCTCTGTCGCTCCCTTACTGACGCCCCCAGTGCCTGACTCCGTGGACACCTCCCTCCTCTTAAATCACCTAAGTTCAGCACCCCCTCGCACACTCCCCCTTTTCCTTACTCCCTGCCTGGCCACGGGGCTCCTTCTCTCCTCCAACCCTCCTGAGCGACCAACCCTCCCCCACCTCTCTGCTGTCATCCCTTCCTGGGGACTTTCCCACCATTTAAATCTTATCTGCAGTCCCATTGCTCCTCGGAACTCCAAAATCATATTCAGTCGCCTGCCTAATATCACTACCCCTCAAACTCAATACGCCTACAACAGAACACCTGATCCTCAAAGTTGGCCCTCCTCATAAAACAAAGGAAAACAAAATCCTCCTCCCTCAGTTTTTCTCTCCTTCTCGGAAGCTGCCCAAGGCCAAAATTTGAGAGTCATCCTTAATTCCTTCCTTGCCTACCTAAATCCCATCTGTCACCAAGTGCTGACAGTTCAATCTCCAAGATACATCCATATATATACACAGACACACACAACAGCTTTATTCATATGATTCACATTCCATACAATTCACCGATTTAAAGTGTGTAATTCAATGGTTTGTAGGATATCCACAAAGTTGTACCTTCATTATCAAATTAATTTTAGACATTTTCATCACCCCAAAAAGAAACTACAGACCCATTAGCAGTTACTCCTAATTTAGCCCTGAGCACCCCCAGTCGAAAGCAACCACCATTCTACTTTCTGTCTCTATAGATTTGCCTGTTCTGGAAATTTCATAGAACAAGAATCACAGGATACATGTTCTCTGGTGTCTGGCTTCTTTCATGTAGCGTATTTGTAAGGCTCATCCATGTTTCAGCACATATCAGTGCTCCATTCCTTTTTGTAGCCAAATAACATTTTGCTGTGTGGACACATCACATTGTAAAATAATCCATTCATCAGCTGACAAACATTTGGGTCATTTCCATTCTTTGGGTATTATGAATAATGCTGCTATAAACATTAGTGTTTTTGTGTAGACATGTTTCCATTTCTCTTGCATATATACCTAGGAGTGGACATACTGGGTTATAAAAGATAACTGTATGTTTAATTGTTTGAGGAACTGCCAGACTGTTTTTCAAAGCAGATGCTTTGAAATCCTGAGAGTTCCAATTTCTTCACATCCTCACCAACACTGGTCATTGTTTGTCTTTCATTGTGGATATGAAGTGGTTTCTCACTGAGGTGCCAATTTGCATTATGCTGTTGACAACAGTGTCAAAAATTGTATTGTGTGCCTATTGGCCATTAGCATATCTTCTTCTGAGAAATGTCTATTCAGATGCTTTGCCAATTTTTAATAGAGTTATCTTTTTTATTACTGAGTCATAAGAGTTCTTTATATTAATATATTCCAGATACAGACCCTTAACACATATGATTTGCAATTATTTTCTTCCTTTCTGTGGATTGTCTTTTTACTTTCTTGATAGTGTCCTTTGATGCACAAACATTTTTAAGTTTAATGGAGTTCAATTTGACTATTTTTCTGTTGTCACTTTTGGGTGTCATATCTAAAAAAGCATGTCGAATCCAAGGTCATTTTATGTCCATGGTTTTTTTCTAAGAGTTTCAAAGTCATAGCTCTTACATTTAAGCTTCCAATCCATTTTTAGTTAATTTTTATACATAGTGTAAGGTAGGAGTCCAGCTTCATTCTTTTGTACATGCATATCCAGTTGCCCCAGTGTGATCTATTGAAGAGACTATTCTTTTCTCATTGAATTATTTTGGCACATTTGCTAAAAATCAATTGACCATAAATGTATGAGCTTATTTCTAGATTCTCAATTCTATTCCCCCTATATGCCATTAGAACACTGTCTTGGTTTCAGTTGTATTTAACAGTCTCATAGTAAGTTTTGAAGTCAGGAAGTTGAGTCTTCCTATTTTTTTCTTCTTTTTCAAGGCTGTGGCTATTATGGGTCCCTTGATTTTCCATACAATTTTAGGATCAGCTTGCCAATTTCTTCAAAGAACTCATCTGAGATTTTAAAAGAGAATTGCGTTAAATCTATAGATCAACTTGGGAGGATTGTTAATTTTTCTGCCCCATGAACATGAGATGTTTTTCCGTTTATTTAGGTCTTCTTTAATTTCTTTCAACAATATTTTATAGCTTTAACAGTATATGTCTTGTACTTCTTTTATTAACTTGTTCCTAAGTATTTTATTCTTTTTCATTCTATTATAAAAGGAATTATTTTCTTGATTTCATTTCAGATTATTCATTACAAGTATATAGAAATAAAATTGATTTTTGTATATTGATCTTACAGCCTGCAACCTCAAGCTGGACCACTAGGGAAGCCTGTAGATTGGCTCGGTCCAAGTGTGAAGGCCCCAGAACCAGGGAGGCCGACGGTGTAATCCTCAGTCCTACGCCGAGGGCCTGAGAACCTGAGGAGCTGCCAAAGCCCCGAGGCCAGAGAACATGAGTTCTGACGTCCAAGGGCAGAGAAGAAGCGTGTCCCAGCTCCAAGACACAGAGAGTGAATTCGCCTTTTCTCTGCCTTCTTGCCATCTGGGCCTGCAGCCATAGAATGGTGCCTGCCCACACAGAGGGCCTTCCCTGCTCAGCCCCCCACTCGCACACCCAGCCTCTCCAGAACCCACGCAGACACACCCGGAAACGATGCTCCACCAGCTGTGTGGGTGCCCCTTAATCCAGCTGACCCCACACATGCTGAAGAGAAGGGATGAGAGTGGACACCGCTGTCTTGTCCCTGATCGTAGGGGAAAGCTGTCAGCCCTTCAGCGGTAAGTCTGATGGAAGCTGTGCGGTTTTCATAGATGCCCTTTCCAGGCTGAAGAGCTCCCCTTCTATTCCTCGTTTGTTCTTTTTCTTTTTCTTTGTAAACACAAAGAGGAATTCAATTTTGCCAAGTGCTCTCTCTACACAAGACCTACCTTTCTCCACTTGCTGCTCCCTCGGATGCTTTCCTGTAGCTGCGGCTGCTCATCTTTATAGGTCTCCACCTCGGGGGTCCTGGACCACCCTCTTCAGAAGGCCCCCATCACCGCGTCTTCCCCAGTCACCGCCCATATAACCTTCCACGCGCTCAGCGTTACTGTTACAGGTGCATGTTCAGATGACCCTAGAGCTCGGCATTTGGCAGCGTGTGCTCAAGATGCCAGTCCTCACAACCGCAGCATCCTCCAGGCAGGCACTGCCATCACCATCACCCACATGGGGCAGGGGTTACGTGTCTTGCCCGGGACCATGCCGTGCATAAGTGTCAGACCCAAGATTAAAACCCAGGCCACCAAGCTACAGACACCATTCTCTTAAACACTTGCTAGCATGTTTTTCAGTATTACCTTTCCTCGCTTGGTAACCTACTTGCTATCTATACATAAGCACTACCAACCCATGTTTTGCTGTATCTCTGGCGCCTAATACCATGCATGCTGGTGTTCAGTGAGTATTTAATGAACAAATAACACGATCCCAAGATGCTCGACAAGAAAAGAGCCCTGCAGCCTGTGCTGAGACTGCCACAACACGGGTCCATGGAGAGTCGCAAGGCTCATTAGTTTTGATGAAGGTCGTTCAACTTTAATCCAATTCCACACATACTTGGACACAGACCCATCTTCTGACCCCTGTCCCCACTGCATTAATAGCCCAGAATCAGTGTTCCAGGGAACACACTTTGAGAAATACTGCCCCAGAGAGGCAGGTCAAACAGCAAAGTTCCCAGAAGGATGCGTCTGCCTTCACTTCTGTGGCTGGCTCTGCTCGTATCCAAAAAGTCTAACTTGGAGTGCCTGAAAGCTCCTTCAGAGCCGCAGCTCAGTTCAGAGAGAACCACAGTGTTCAGTTTTCCTTTTCTTTCCTGGAGTTCCTAAAGGCACATTACGATACACGACCACTGAGAAAACACGAAGATTTTTCCAGCCATCACTGGAATGGCTCAACTCCCTGGCATTTCTGTGGTCTCAGACCACATCAAGACGTAGCTGTAATTTTCTCAGAGTTCTGGTTTGTTGAATGTGATTCAAGCAAAATTGCCCATCACAAGGTGCTTTGCCCTGTTCTCAGAACGCAGCAAGACCAACCACATGCGAACCACAAAGCTTACACTCCTTTCCTGCATGCTTACCTTAATGCTGAGATTCAGACCATGGCTTAAGATGTGGGATGGCTCCACAGCCACAAACGGCTCGGCTTTCCGAGTGCTCGAGGTCATCCACCCAAACGCTCTCTGAAAAAGGAGAAAGAAAAATCTTTACTTCAAGATCTAAGCAAGAAAACTGCAAACAATGTAATACAACCTCATATATGAGCAAAGCAGCATACTGTGCTGTGATTAATTTGCTGTTTCTGAGAAAGTTTTTACCTTTCAACAGGCAGTGAGTGGTTAGAGTATCTTTTTAAACTCCTTATAAAAAGTACTCAATAAAAGAATGCATGTTTGTTTCCTTCATCTTAAACACAGAGAAAGTCATTTCTATGTAATTGTTTTCCAAAGCTGTTATTTTTCTGTGGTGAATTTTTATATATTTGGTGTATAGGCAAAGTCATTTTTGGTGACTATGAGTACTTTCTAAATTCAAATTTACGTAAGTGCAAACAAGGAGCCTTGGGTATATGAGCCATGTGACAGGGAGAGCTGAGAAAACAGAGGAAATGGGTTAGAACTCCCCACAGAACTGGACATAAACATCCGGAAGGAGCTAACAGGCCCGAGTCCTTGGAAAGAGAGGAGCTGGACTAGGAAGTCAGGAGACTGGGCCGAGCCGTCTAAGGCATCCAGAGTGAGTGATTTAGTAGAACTTGGTCTATTCCAGTAATTCTAGGCAGAGACAATCTTTAACATTCATTTATCTCAAAGGCCAAGGAGCGAGGGAACCTACCTATGCTGGAATGTTCAGATTAGAACTACGGCAAACGCATGTCTCTCCGCCAGTTTGTCCGAGGAGGCGTGACTTGCACGAAGGATGACTCGCATGGTAACAGAGCCACCCCCGGGCACAGAATGGCCGACAATCTGGGTGGCACTTAGTGACTCAGCCTGGGAGAGGCCCCCAGCACAGCCAGGCTCCAGCCCTGCACGCCACACGGCAGAGGCAAGCCCCATGTTTGCCAGCTGGCTGGTGGCTCACACAGCAGCAGCTCTGGGAGAGCTTAGTCTGAGACTACAGAGATCCTTCCTCCCGTGCCTTCCCCAGTCTAGTCGGCACTTCCATGTGTTCCCCTTTGAAAAAGCCAGGAGAGAATTCGCTCAAGCACAGAAGGACCGGACCCGGAGGCCAGGCAGCAACACGCCAGCGCTCACAGGGCCAGGGCGGGTCCTCAGTTTACCAATGTTCAGGAGGTGTGTTGTCAGAGCCTGCTTTACCTGGTGTAGTGAGAATGGGGTTCCTTTCCAAAGCCCAGGCCCAGAGGCAACTTATAAGGAAATCATCTGGTGGTGGGCAAAAGGGAGTCGGCTCATGTGAAATTCCCACGAGATGAAAAAAAAACCATTGTCACCACTGCCTGGTGAAATTCAGGCAGCCACGAACTCATTACTTGAAGCCACAGAGATGGTTGCAGTAAACACAGACAAATGATTGGGTTTAAGTAGACTGTTTTTTCTGCCAAAAAAAAAAAAAAATCATCTTTCTTCCTCCCCCACAAATCTGTTTATTACTAAAAAGCTTTGGACCTTGTGAACGGGGCTAGACCAATTTAAGCCTCTCTTTTCCCCTGGGGTTCCTTCTCAGGGCTCTCCACTGGTTTGGAAAATCCTTTGGCTACTGTGGGAAAGGAGACCCTCCTACTGTAGCAGCCACAAAAGAAGGAAAAATTAAATTATGCAAAAGGGGAACAGGCCACAAGAACCACACGAGGCCAAGAGGCAAGGGCAGGAGACGAGATCGCGGGCAGGAGAGGCGTCCTCACCCCTTCTTAAAGAGAGCGCCGCTCTCTGCCCAGACGCCCGCCTGGCCCTGCCCGCGTTCCTAGCGCCGGTCCAGAGTGGGGCTCTCACACGCACAGCGCGCAGAAGAAACTCCCAAGGGCTCTGTGCGTAGAGATGGAAGAAATCTACAGCGCAGGCCACAAGCGCGAGGACCGTCGCTAGATAACGAAACTGCAGAACATAGTAGAATACATCGCCAAGAAAACACAACCCAGGCAGCTTTCATACACTCAGGACAATTTGGGGAAAAGCAAAAAGCAAAGAACACAACCAGGAAAGGGTCCACATTTAGTGACAGGTTAAAGCTTAAGAAACTAGTCAAACCGGTATAAAAACAGAAAAAATTCCAGAGGAAAACAGGGCAGTGGGGAAGGACCACTGATAAGGCTCAGGCAGCAGGAAGGGAGGTTAGCTTAGCATCCCTCCAGGGCTCTCTCACCTTTGGAAGGTTTCTTCCTGTTCCAAACACACTTGCACTTGACTTTCACAACTCAAGTGAAAGACTCTGAGGAGACTCAGGGACTAATCCTAGACCAAATGCCCTGGAGGGGGCAGAAAGGCACCCTCCTACCCAGCGTTTCAAACCTCTGGCTTGACATGGCTGCCCAGGGAGGCAGCCGCGGTGAGTGGCGGCTCCGGAGCTTTACCCGTGAGCTGCGGCGTGCGGCGCCTCCAGGCCCGGAGCGCCTGTTACACACCTGGGGCGAGGCTGCTGTGAGGCCCAGCTTTCACGCAGGCTTTCCCCATCTTTCCCTAGATGCCTGGAGCAAGGAATGCACATTCTTCCAGACGTTGTCACAGAGCTCTGGGCACCCCCGCCTGCCCCACACAGATCTCGGGATATCTTTCAGGATTCAGGCCAGATGCCTGCAGGTTCCAGAAGACCTTCTCTGACTGCCTCTCTCTCCTGAATTTGTGCCAAACACCTGATTATAAATGACCACTATAGCTAATTCTCAACCATCCAGGGTTCGATTAGCCACAGTAATAATAATAAAAACACTAATTATTATTATTTGAATATTTTAATAAAATAAATATGTAGAATGCCTCCAAATCAACAAAACTATCCACCCATCAGAAGTTCTCTGTGGACTGGAACTACACAATGACCTACAGACATCACCGTGTGTCTGAGCAGTGAGGGACAGTCTCATGCCATCACCCCTTGGCCAGGTACTTGCTATGTCGATGCCCAAGGCTTGTCATTCTGATAGCATTAATTCTACGACCGAACAAGTGGATGGAAAAGCCATTGGTAAGTGACAGCACGGTGTAGGAGCCAAGATTAGAAGCAACAATGTGGGGCAGTGGTGCCATTAGGTGGCAGGGTGGCAGGGACAGTGCCCTCCTCTCCCCCAAAAAGACCGCTGTTCCCACTGCAATGCCTTTAGAAAGTGAAAGGACAGTGCTCAAGGGCTGTCTGGGCTTCAAATCCATGCTGTGTGCATGTGTGTGCATGCACACGCGTGTGTAGAACACTCGGAGTAAGAATAAATGATGGACCATCTTAAGAGTACTAACCACTGGCACGTTTTGTCAATTAATTTATAGATTTTGTGATCCTGGCCTTTTAATGCTTTTACACATTAGGACGGCATCTATCTAAGAGTGCATACTTCCTAAATACTGGATTTTTCACTAAGTAAATGTTGGTAGTTTTCACTAATAAGAATATGTTAAATTTATCAGTGACAACCTTTTGGCATTTTACCTTTCAGTCAAGAGAAACCTGTATTTCACATCTGGATGCTTTCCTCTAGGACTGGGCTGTGGGTTTTCACAAGCAGGACTCTTCCTGTGCGTCTTCAGCGTTTCAGAGGCTTGAGCCCCGCGCTCAGCAGGCAGGTGCTGGAGGACACACGGGTATCAGAGGGCAGACAGGCAGCTCGTTCTCCTGTGATGGCTCCGGTACCCGGCAAGCCACCTGCTGCAAGAAGATGCTCATTGTCAAAATATCAACTGGCACAGAGGACACAGGAAGGAGAGAGGGAGCTAAAATGAGCCCCACAGCCCTCCCTGGAGAGACCCAGAAACTGCACCCCATCCCCATTCTTGGGGATACGGCCCCCACTCCATGCGCTTTATATTGCTACTGGGTGACTTCCCATATTACCCCATGACATCACAGCTTCTTTTTTTTTGAGACAGGGTCTTACTCTGTCACACAGGCAGGAATGCAATGGTGCAATCATAGCTCACTGCAGCCTCCAACTCCTGGGCTCAAGTGATCCTCCTGCCTCAGCCTCCTGAGTAGCTGGGGTTATGGGTGTAAGCCACTGTGCCTGGCATGTGGCTCTTAAATGGAAATGTCAGGGCCTTGTACATTTTCGAGTGCTCTCCTGCAAAACCTTGGGAGGTGTGCTGCCCCTAAATTCAAAGAATATAGGTGGGTATTATCGAAAATCACAAGTGGAAGAATTAAGTTATGGGGCAGCAATCTCAATTTTAAGTTCTTTCATATATGTTAAAAAATTTATATTTATAAATGTTTTCAAATTTATGTGGTATTTTTGGTGGCTCTACTTGCTTAATAGCAACCATAAAAATGAATAAATAAGTAACAAAAATTGAAAAAAAGTTGGCTTGAGGTTTGATATACATATTGCTATTAATGTATAATATAAACTACAGTTGATAAGAAAAATACACACTAAAGACTCAAGTTCAGTCTTCCACACACTCTGCCCATCAGCCCTCACAGCGGGCTCAGGATTCTGGATGACCTTCACCTTCCTCTTCGTTTAAGCAATGTCCTCTTGGTATATGTTACCGAGGTGGGTCTCAAGAGCTTCCAGTATGACAAGCCCCTTTTTAACGTCAAAATTTTCTTATACCTGCCTCACCTCACACCCACAGCCGCACCTTTAGTAAGACATTCACATTGTCAGAGGCCACGATGAATTCAGGAATGCACCTCACAAGTTTACATCTTATACGTCACAACACTTAGGAGCATTTAAAGGAGCAGTGCAGCTGCGAGACCAGTTAGCCTGCAGACGACACTTAGAACAGCAGGAATTCCTGCGCCCTTTCATAACTCTGACGTGCACGACCAAAGCCACGCCGCGTCAGCGCCGAAGCCGCACGCGCACACCTGGCGCAGCAGGGCCAGCCCGCCGTCCCCGCGTGGCCACAGATGCACCCTGCTTGCTGGCTGTGTGCGTGTGCACTGGTCCCCAGGAGCCCTGAGGCAGAAGCCCCAAAACACAGAGGCAACGTGACCAGACTTGCTGGATCTAGCATGGGAAGGCCGGGTCACCTCTGCTCCGTGGAGAGATGGCCGCTCTAAAGAAGTGTCAGGAAAGACGCTGCTGAGCAGCATAAAAGAAATCATTTTTGTATGAAGATAGCGAGAGAGAGAGAGAGAGACAGAGAGAGAGAGAGAGAGAGAGGAGGGGGAGAGAGAGAGGAGGAGGAGAGGGGAGGGGGAGAGGACCCTAAAAATCCTGTGCTAAAACTTCAAGCCCTGATGTGATGACCAGACGACGGTGGACTCGACACTTCAAGTGGAGCCGGGCCGACTGCAGGAGGGCGTGCGTCTCAGAAACCACAACTCCCTTCTGAGCCTCACGAGTAAAAGCAACAAGCAAGCTGGACCACAGAACCATGGCCATGGAAAATGCGTGGCCCGAGTCCACGTGTGAGCGTAGAATACACGCATTCGAGGGTAGCCAGCGACTGGACATTAGCCCTGGTAACATCACAAAAGGGGCTCTCATTGGAAACTGAATTCAAATCAGGCTTTGCGCAGGTATCTAGTACTTTACAGCTGTTAAAATGTTTCAGAGGCTTGAGCCCCGCGCTCAGCAGGCAGGTGCTGGAGGACACACGGGTATCAGAGGGCAGACAGGCAGCCCGTTCTGGCAAATGTGGCCGGGCGCGGTGGCTCACGCCTGTAATCCTAGCACTCTGGGAGGCCGAGGCGGGCGGATTGCTCAAGGTCAGGAGTTTGAAACCAGCCTGAGCAAGAGCGAGACCCCATCTCTACTATAAATAGAAACAAATTAATTGGCCAACTAATATATATAGAAAAAATTAGCCGGGCATGGTGGCGCATGCCTGTAGTCCCAGCTACTCGGGAGGCTGAGGCAGGAGGATTGCTTGACCCCAGGAGTTTGAGGTTACTGTGAGCTAGGCTGACGCCACGGCACTCACTCTAGTGTGGGCAACAAAGCGAGACTCTGTCTCAAAAAAAAAGAAAAATATGGCAAATATGTGAAAAATACACAGTTTCAGAGTAATGGGGCTAAGGTTGAATTAACAATAACCATGACAACTATTAATAATACTCAATACAGCACATGATATTTGCTAGGTACTGTTCTAAGCACTGTATAAATATTAACCACTGAAATCAGTACTACCTATTGTTAATATTATCCCCATTCTATAGATGAGGAAACTGAGGCAGAGAAAGAAACAAGGTCATATAAGTGGTGAGCAGCAGAGTTTGGCTCTAGAGTTCTTACTCGTAGTCAATGTGCTAGGCTGCCCTACTGATTAAAAAATAATGTAAAAGCTTTAAGAAAGAGAAAACCTTTTTCATAAGGTTCTACCACTTCATAGTATCTCTAAGGTAAAATCTATCTACCTTTCTAACAACCACAGAGATTTGCGTCTGACTTCTCTGCCTGGGGTGGAGGGGGTCTTCCTCACTGTAAAGTCCAAACACAGTCTTATGTTCCACATCTGGCGACATCCTCTTGCCAGGAGAGAAGTAATAGAAATCTCCTTCTAGATCTTGGGGGTAGGGCCCATGAGCCCACTGCACACGCACGAAGTCCACTAAGGGTGGTCATTGCCCTTGAGTTCAGCGTATTCAGGCTATGACGGCCAAGTCAAACATGCACAGAGCGCCTACTGAGGACAGGGTGCTACATGGCGTGCAGAGAAGGAACAAAGAAACTGGGACAATAGTGAAGCTCGAAGGACTTTTAAATAAAAGGTCCAAGTGGAAGGGAGTGGAGCACAACACTGAGGGGAGAAAAGGAGAGAGACACTCTAGGGTTTCTTTGCAGGGAGGAAAGTCGCACCGTGGATTAGTACTTGAGGCTTCCGGCGCAGTTCATGGAGCTCTTGTGCATTTTTCTCATATGTACTCACCATATGAACCCACAAACCCACTCCTAGGTATTTACTGAAGGCAAAGGGAAAACTCAAGTTTCCGTAAAACCTGTACATAAAAGTTATAGGAGTTTCATTCATAATTGCTAAAAAAAAAAAAAAAAAAAAAAAATGGATGCAAACCCCAAATCCTTTAACTGGTCAGTGGCTAAGCAAACTCTGCGTCCATACAATGGAACACGACTCAGAGATAAAAAGGAAGGAACAACTGATGATAACATAAAACACAATGAATCAATCTCAAATGTGTCATGCTAAGTGAGAAAAGCCAGACTCAAAAAGCTACATGCTGTATGATTCCACTTGTAGAACATTCTGGAAAAGACAAAATTACAGGGATAGAATACACAGCAGTGGTTACCAGGGCTTGGAGCTAAGTGGAAGGCTTGATTACAAAGGGGCACAAGCAACTTTTTTATGTGATAGATATTTATATCTTGATTATGGTAGTGACTGCACAACTGCGTGCACTTATTAAAACAGCTATATACTAAAAAGGGTGAATTTTACTGTGCATAAATCACACATCAATAAATCTGATTTTCTAAAAGCAGCCCAGAGCAATCTTTTATCTCATGGAATGGGGCTGCTGTTACTTTCTGGGAGGTTCTATAAACCATGTATCTAACTTCCTTTACTGACTCCCACCCCAATATCTTCTCACACAATATTTATAGGAAGATTGTTGGTTGTTTATTTGTAGGAGAAAAAGCTCCTTTAGTCATAACATTTCTTAAAGTAACCTCTGAGTATTTAGATAATAAGGGGAACTCTCTCATATTAAAAATAGACGAGTAGGTGGCTCTTTCTCCTCGTGCTAAATATGTACCTGTTAATCACAGTGGAAAGAGGGCAAGTAAGAATTTAATAGCTCTGTCTACACAGAACATTGTTACAAAACCGCTACATCACTAACACATCCAGGTACTGAGATACAAATGTTGAACTACATTCGAAGCAAGCCAAGATTACTGCTAAAATCTTCAGGAAAGTAAACCTAAAAGAAATCTTGACTGTTACATGGCAAACCTTTAGTGGAGTAGAAAAATGGGGGAAAAAAAACTTACTGCACTATTGAGAAACATAACTGCACTCTGATTTAGTCTATGTTCCAGACCCAGAGCAATGCAAACGATTCTGGTTCTTTCCTTACTCAGTACCAGAGGTCCCGACCACTCAGGCGAGCTGGGCTCTGTTCCAGGCACTAGAGAGACAACGACAACGCAAACGCTCTGTCCGAGTGGGGCGCACGCCCTCCTGGGAGCGACACATCATAGATAAGTGAATGGACAAATAAACTGCCCCGTAACAAACTGAATTTCAGTTGACAAGAGTGGGGACGCCAGAGCAGAGGGAAAGAATGAACAGTTCCACGTTAGACAAAGTGGCCAGGTGTCTCTGAGCAGGTGCCGCTGAGCAGAGCCCTGGGGAGCAGCTGGGGTGGTGCAGGGAGGGCGGCAGGCCGAGGGATAGAGCAAGCGCCCACACTCAGCTCCTGAGACGGGAGTCTGCCTGGTCTGTCCTGTCCCAGGGACTAGCACAGTGGCCAGTCTGGCTGGGGAGGAACGAGCAAAAGGAAGAGAGCCTGGAAGTGCGCGGCAGTGACAGGTCAGCACAGGTCACAGTGCCACGCCCAGTGCTGGGACTCCAGGTTTGATTCTGAGAGTTACTAGAAGAGGCCCAGCTACGAAAGCAAGGGAGTGACCTCATCTTCATTTAGTTTTGAAGATTCACTCTGGTCACTCTAAGGAAAAGAGATATTTAGAGAGTGGACAGTGAGCTGTACAGGACGAAGCAGGGAAC